TCAGCTGCTTCTCCTCAGCAGTTAATAAAACACTCACCACTCCAGCAGCGGCTCCCTCTCCTGCCCCTTCTCAGAGCCCAGCTTGGTGATGCATGAGGGATACTTTTCTTCCCTTCCCTTCCTCACAAGATTGGGAAGTGTGGGGAGGGTAGAGAAAGTGTGAGTCAATCATGGTTTCTGCCACTAGTGCTTCCATTTCATGTGAAGGTTGCCAGTGAGCCCCTTCATATACTCTATTTAGGGGACTTCCCCCCCATGATTTGATTCCATGCAGCCGTGCTCTGCATGCTAATTAGGGGACTTTCCCATCCAACCTGTCCATCAGCACAAGGGTGACTATTTGGCAAGAAACACGGGCAATTGGGACATTTATACATTTAATGTAACCTTGTGGAGTGGTCCCATGGGAAGGCAACTGTAGGTGTTGCTCCAAGTGTGTGAGAAAAGGACTATGAGTGTATATTAGCTCATTGCAATTAATGTTAGGTGTTCTCAGTTTCTGTCTGGGCTGCCAAGAGGCAGGGAGACCGGGGACAAAATTCTGTAGGGTTGGGTTACTCTGGAGGCCCATATGTTTGTTTTCACATTTTGTTTCGATTGGGTGTGGTTGTGAGGAGGGACCCAGAGGGAATCTTTTTCTCAAGCTCCACAGTGCCTCTCTACAGCCTCAGGTTCTCAAGTCCTGATGGAGAAGGGAAAATGGAATCCAGTTTTTGTTGGAAGCGGTTGGGCTTCTATTGTGATGGTCCATTGATTATCATTTTAGTGGATTGTTTATTATTCTTGTTTTGGGGGAAGACAGACTCAATCTAATAAGCATGGAGTGAGTACATGAATCTGTTCCATTGCTGTTTGGGGGAGCAGTTTTGCTGAAGGAGGGGGGAAAGTAACCAAGGTTTCCCTGTAAAAAGCAATTCAGCGTAGCTTTAATTCACTCTTTAAGTCTCATTGATTGACTTTTCAATGAATGCAATAATGGGCAAAGAAGGCAATTGACATGGATTACGGGTTATATAAGCTCTGAGAAAGAAGTCAATCATTAGGGAGGATTTCAGCCAGAAGCAGATGTATTTCCTCCATTACTTTCCTGTCTTGATCTTACAGTTTCTGCCTGACCCATCCATCAGCCCCGAGTCTCACTGTGTTCCCAAGGTCAGATCACTTAGCAGGCCAGTTGATGGGTGTTGTTCTCAGAGTAATTTTCTCCTGCAACAGTTTCCAGTAGGGGCCTTAAGTGGCTCTCAGTAGTATAGCCTGATTCATCATGTTCACCACTCACACGGAGACCTGCTTCAGGGCCTACCTTGTCATTTGGAGAAGTTTCCCAGCACACAGATGTTGAAACTGGGACTGCTGTGAAGGCTCGTAAATCAAGTTCATTTTCTTTTCTGGTTTCCCAGGTTTATATCAAGTAAATCGGTTAGGCCTTTTATGCACTGGTGTTTTGCCTCACTTTCACTGTGCATGCCTGTCGATTTTTCTTTGTTGTTCTGCCTTTCCATTGCATTCACTGTGCATGTCTGTCAGGGGGGGGTTCATTCTGTATTGTTCTTCCTCCCTTCAGTGCTAAGTTCTCTTTCTGTTTGCTGTTTGCCCAGATTTTCTGAGAGTGGTTCTTTGACGGGTTTTTCTCTTGCTTCGCTTCCAAGCCGAAGGTGATTCAAAAGGATACCTATTCCTTCAGATTTCTCCCCGCCCTTTTTCCGGCCCCTTGAAGGCCACTCCTCTGCTCACACTGAGGTCCTTTCTCCCAATCATCATTGGTTAGTTTTGTACTGGGCATGTTTTTTTTTTGAACTAGGAGATTCTTCAATCTGTATTTACTCTAGGATAGCCATCTTTGAAGAACATTACTGGTTCTCCCCCCTCCCCATTGGTGTACAATGGTGCACCTCACTGCCTTTGGAAAGGCTGCCTGGATATGTTGCATGCTCCTTGGCTTTTGCCAGTGCATCTTCACTCTAGTGCAGACGAAGCTTCCTCAACCCCACCCCAGCCATTGAAAGGGGAGCCCATTTTTGTCCCTTCCCACCATTCTGCCTTTCTCTGCCTTCCTCGCACCCCCCCCCCCGCCAGCCCAGCCATCCTTATTGCAGGGGCTCTTTGTGCTGCATGCAACATGTCATAGGTGCTTCATTACACTTCATCTTCATTTAAGGGTCATGTGGAGTTTTGCTGGGGATACATGAAGGGAAAGGGAGGGAGAAAAAAGTAGGGGAGATCCATCAAGACTTTCCCCCAAGCCATTACCATCCTGCTAGGTACACGAGGGTTCTACTTTGCAAACTATTTCAACAGTGGAGGAAGAAGGGGGGAAACTGGATGCTTTTTTAAAAAAAAGTTTAAAATGGGGAATTGAGTGAGGCAGGGGGTTTCTTTACTTCTCGTGATGACTCTAAAACATCAAAAGGATGGACTGTCTCTGTCAGGGTGAAGACTTCACTGGGGAAGGAAGAGGAGACTAATCTTGGTGTTGTGCCCCCTCTCATTTCCTGAAGCTTCTCTCTCTTTTTTTTTTTACAAGTGGTATAAGTGTACCATGATGAGATTTATGCTAGACTAGGTTTGCGAGGTGGGGGGGAAACAGGGAAGCAAGATGGTCTTGGTGGTGCCTTCTCCCTCTTCCCCAGGGCTGCCACCCCACTTCTACCTGGAGCAGGTCTCGTGTTTGTGCGGCACTGCTGCGAGGTGGTGACCCAGGCCAACTGGGCTGCTTCCTGGTCTTGCTGCCTCCCAATGAGGTGCGCCGCTTGAAGGCACAGCCCAGCGTGGTGGGCGAGAGCCTAGCCAAGGTGCAGGCATTGCTTTTCACAGTGTATGATAACACAGCACAGAATCCAAAAAGTAGTTTGGTCAATTTCAGGAAATTTTTAAAAACTTTACCTGTGTTCCTCTGTGTTCCACTTCATTCAAGGAACTGAACCATGAGGATTCAAATGGAAGGGGCTTGCTTGACGCTACTGCACAGCCAGCTGCAATAGGGCACTTTAAAAAAAACGTGGACATCCCCACCCCAGTTAAGCAAAAACTGTGGGTTTTGGTTGGAGCTGCAGAATACATACACGGAATACTTAATAAATAAATTGGAGAAAAAAGAATGGCGCAGAGGGCAGGCACACAAATCCAAAGTCAAGATTAGAGGCTTTGACTGCTCAGATTCTCTGGAGTAAGCTGTCAGTACATCACGGGCCTTAGTAGGAATCGTAGCAAGAGCTGTGAACAGCAAACACCACAAAGATAACAATGCAATTTCATATACTCTCTTGTTAAATTCCAGTGTAATATTGCTTGAAATAATATACAAGACAATAATGCTCACTACAATGTATGATACAGTGCAAAAATTGCCAAGTTCATAAAGTTTTGTGAAGATGCCGGATATGAGCTTCGTTTCTTCAGAGATGATTCTTCAGAGACAAATATGCATGCTATTAATGTTCTCATTCATTTATGTCCGCAATCAGTTCTCTATCTTGAAAGTTCAGTATTATTCCAAAATGTATTACTCCAAAAGTTTCAAAAAATTACAAGGATTTCTAAATGGGCTACCAGTCACAATTTTCAGACAAACAACTCTGAAACATTACTAAGCTGGTAGGAGGCACTACCAGCTTACTAATGTTACAGAGTGATTTGTCTGAAAATTGTGACTGGTAGCCCATTTAGAAATCCTTGCAAAGGAGGGGACAACTCAGAAGGTAGATGGTTGACACTTTAAAAAGGTAGGCACTTCAAGAAATGCTCCAACTTTTATGGAAGCAGCCTTAGGGTGCTGAACTGGAAATGCCAGAAGTTAGCAGACTAGGTATCATCATTTTGTGCATCATTATTACAGTGGCCCCTGGAAGACAGAAGTTCCTGCTCCAGGAAGTTCACCTTGGCCCCTCAGTTTTGGCCTTTGGTGGTTTGGGGAGCGCTCCTAGTCAGATCTGCTCAGAAGTAAGTCCCTGGGCTTACTCCCAGAATTCTTAGATTGCAGCCTTTGTCTCTTGCCCAGTTTTAGTTTTAATGTATTCTTGCATCTTTAGTTAGTTAGTTAGTGCAGACTTGATGCTGATTTAATGCTTCTACTGACTGCTGTTTTAATTGTTGGTTTTTATAACGGCTGCTGCTGTATACATTTTAATATGGCTATTATCACTGTCACTCTTGAGCTATTTTATGAGGAATGGTTTTTTTAAATTAATTGTCCTTGTTTTCACTGATATCTATTTTTATTTGTTGGTTGCAAGGCACTTTAGAGGTTACCATATTAACAAAAAGTCTCTGGATCCAATTCAAGATTTGGTTGTTGTATACGAGAACTCAATACATTACATTGGTGTTTGCCTTTAAAGCCCTTAATGGTCTGGAACCCTCATATTTACAGGGCAGCCTCTCCCATTACAACCACCTGTGCTCCCTTTGGTCATCATCTAGGGGCCTCTTGCAGGTACTTGGCCCCAGGATGGCCCCAGGATGGCTGTCACCAAGGGAAGGGCCCCAACCCTGTGGAATGTGGCTTGTGCCTTGCTGGACTTGTTTAGTTTCCGCAGGGCATGCAAGGCTGAATTGTTTAGGCTGGCCTTTGGAAGGTAATCCACGTGCTTGGGCTGTTTTAATAGTGGTATGGTGATAGCCACATATTTTAATATTATTTTATATTTGTTATTTTTATGTTGTTTACCTTATTGTTTTTAATGTTGTAATCACCGCAAGACCCTTTGGGTGAGCCGTGATGAAAAAATATAATAAATAAACCAGATAGATCAACGTAACATTGCCTCCATACAAGGCACTGTGATTTTTTTTTAAATAACCTCTTTGCTGCTGTTGTTTTAAATTAGCTAGTTCCCTTCCTTTTGGATGGTACTGTAAACAAATAATCAACATCAGTATTTTCATAGGCCTCCTTTCATACCCTGGTCATTGATCATCCTGAAGTGGCAAGCAGTCAGGATAAGCAACAATTTATTTGAGATCTTCTCAAGTGCATTTTGTTGTTGTTTTTTCCATTTCAGCATGCGGAAAATTAATGAAAATCACTGGCCCTATAACAGTCAAGACATCTGGAACCCGTTTTGGAGCCTGGATGACGGATCCGTTAGCATCCGAAAAGAACAATCGCGTATGTGTGTGTGTTTTATTGCTTCATGTTGTGATCAAAACAGGGATTCCCCAGCAGGTCTTTGAACATGTGAAGCCGCCTTATATGAAGTCACACCATTGATCCCGTCTAGCCCAGTACTGTTCAGCAGCTCCTCAAGGCCTTGGGTGTGGGTCTTTCCCAGCAACAGCTGCTAGAGGTCCTTTTTACTCAAGATGATGGGACTGATACGAGTAAAGTATATGCTCAAAAAACTGAGATATAGCACTTCACACATACATTTATAAAGCCTTGTAAGAGAGATTAGGTGAGCTCCACAGACCTAGCAAATTGTAGTGGGGAGGGGGGGCTTAAATCCAGAGAGGTAATCCAAAATTAGGGTTGCCAGCTCCAGGTTGGGAAATACCTGGAGATTTTGGGGTTGGAGTCTGGGGAGGGTGGGGTTTGGGGGAGGGGAAGGACTTTGATTGGGTATAAGGCCACAGACTTCACCTTCCAAAGTGGCCATTTTCTCCAGGTGAACTGTTCCCTGTTGCCTGGAGATCAGTTGTTATCTCAGGAAATCTCCAGCTACCACCTGGAGGTTGGGAACCCTTTCCAAAGTAATTGTATGACATGACCACGGGTAGGACATGGGGCTAGGCTGGAGAAGGCAACTGAGAGAGGTGAGTCAATTTTAGCTTGCTGAGCTACGCCACGGTTGCCAGTTAAATGGGAAAGGAATCACAAGAAGGGGGACCATTTAGGAATCCCCCAGTCCCATAATAACTCAGGTGCTTCAGCAGGCTAACCCCCCCCTCCCATTTCCTTTAACAGACTCTCAGCGACTTTCAACATTCTGTGTGTTTTGGAGCACATTCAGTCTTCATCGGATTGTTTAGGGTTGTGGGTTTTTTTAAAAAATTAATAGACCATGTCATATTTTTCTGCAAACTTGCAGCTATGTAGAGACCCCCCCTCCCACCTTGTCTTTCAGTGCCCTGGCATTGCCATTTTTATCATTGACATAGGACCCAGCCAGTTTGCTGTTACATCTAGTGGCAACTTCAGGGCCTGCAAAGAATCACAGAGAAAATATGGAGATCTCACCCCCACCCCCACCCAATTCTCAGATTCTGTAAACTGACACAAGGCATGGCCAAGCTCATTTCCCCCTCCCTCTTTTCTTTATTAAATGACTCTCAGTAGCTGTTGATATTTCATACTCCTGGAGCATATTCAGCTCTCTCCAGAGCAGTGTGGGGTGAGGTCTTTTTCTCTTGGTGAATTTATAAATGCATGTTTTTATTCATAGTTAGGGAATCCCCCGAATATGTAAAGATCCTTACCTTTTTGTGAGTGGCCTGGTTGTGCTGCATTAGTGATTGGCACAAGCTCCCCGGTCTCTTGTTAGATATAGCCAATCAGAAGACAGTTCAAACGTTCTGTATGTCAAGAAATACAGGAGTAACAGTGCAATCCCCAGCAGAACTATGCCCTCCTAAGTCCACTGAAATCAAGTTGCATATCAGGACGCAAGACTGCTTGGGAGTATGTTGTAGGACTTCCCACCACTGGTGTGATGACCACTTCAGTTCTACATTTTCTTGCATACTCATAAAAGTTTCTGCTTGTGTGGTTTGTCTTCCTTGTATGTGTACCTGGTGACAATGTGTGTTTTTTCTTGCCTGGATTCCTTCCAAATATTATGGCATCACACCACTTGGGGGGTGGGTGGGCAGAATCAAATATATTTAAAACATGGCTCGTTTAGCAAATTATTGTTTTCCTGCAAATTGACAGCCTATTCTTCCTTTTCACTTTCAGGTCTGGTACATGGACAGTTACACCAACAACAAAATAGTCCGTGAGTACAAATCAATAGCAGACTTTGTCAGTGGAGCTGAATCGAGGACATACAATCTCCCTTTCAAATGGGCAGGAACCAACCACGTGGTCTACAATGGGTCACTCTACTTTAATAAATACCAGAGCAACATTATCATCAAATACAGCTTTGATACTGGACGGGTCCTTGCTCAACGTACCCTGGAGTATGCAGGCTTTCACAATGTGTACCCGTACACCTGGGGTGGCTTCTCAGATATTGACCTGATGGCAGATGAAATTGGCCTTTGGGCTGTCTACGCAACCAACCAGAATGCAGGCAACATCGTCATCAGTCAACTGAACCCAGATACGTTAGAAGCAACGAAAAGCTGGAGCACTGGCTACCCAAAGAGAAGTGCTGGGGAATCCTTCATGATATGTGGTACTTTGTACGTCACCAACTCTCACTTAACTGGAGCCAAGGTCTACTACTCGTATTCCACAAAAACCTCCACCTACGAATACACAGACATACCTTTCCATAATCAGTACTTTCATATATCCATGCTTGACTACAATGCCAGAGATCGGGCTCTCTATGCCTGGAATAACGGACACCAGGTCCTGTTTAATGTCACGCTTTTCCACATAATTAAGACAGAAGATGACACATAAACTCAACATTGGTTTGGCCACCCCCAAAGCGGTGTCATTTGTGCTGAACTCAGAAGCATTCTACTGGATTTCTTTTCAGTTCTTTTTTCAGTAAGGGTTTAAAAAAAAGCTTTTTCTACACTATAATGTATTATAAAGATGGCTGAGCCTTTCTGTAAAAATGACCTGTTGGAATTACAGGTATCTTTCTTAACTCAACACAAGGCCTGCCATGACTTTATCATGAAAAGCACTAAAGATTATTTCAGTGGCTAAAGACAGTATTTAAAAAAAAAAAAAAGATTAATGATCTGCCTTATATTAGAGTCAGAGACTAATGGTGACTTAACTGCATGAATGTCTTTTTCTACCATACATCATTTTTAAAAAACAAAACAGATCTGCTGAATTGTTCAACATCAAAACATATTTGGACAGTAATCTGAAACAGAATGCACATCAATATTATTTGCTTCTTAAATATATATATATCATCCAAAGTCAAATATTAGATTTCTTCAGGGGTGAAAAAAGTAAAATCCCCTCAGCTGTTACACAGTTTCAGAAGCGGTGCTGTACAGTCTGTTTTTAAACCTCTTGCAAGCAGTTTCTCAATGACATGTATTTATACCATTGTGTCCACCATTGTGCAATTGTATCTCTTCACTTCTGTGAAAGTCAACTATTTTTTATAAAATATATTGAAATTTAATCACGGGTCTGATTATGGGTCCCTTTTGAAACAGCATTGGCATGGAAATACTTCTTCTTTACTCAATGAGTAATTAAATTGTGGGATTGCCAATTAACACAATGATGGCTATGAGCACAGTTAGCTTTAACAGGGGATTAGACAGATCCATGGAAGATAAGTCCCTCCATGGCTACTAGCCACAGTGACCAAAGGGAACCACCATATTCAGAGACAGTAAGCCTCTCCGTACCTGTGGCTAGGTGGCAATGACAGGGGAAGGCCCTCTATGCCCTGTTTGCCCTCCAAAGCAACCACTTGGCTACTGTGTGAACCCAGATGGTGGACTAGATATCAAGCAGTGGTTTTCCTATGTTCTTATGTAATATTGTCATATTCAGGAGCCTACAGCTTTGCTCTGATTAGTTTTGTGACTTTTCAGACTTTCCCTTTGTGCCAAGGCTGCCTTTAGAATGGATTACTAGGAGGATCTCTTGTCTTATGTAAATAATAGTTCCAGAATTGAGTACCTGCCATCCAGTGTCATAAAAACCAAAGTGAGTTACCTCTAAATGCCGGACAGGTATCACAAAATTTTGCCCATCTAAGCATGGTACTACTGTGCTATATTGGAACACGTACAAAATCTTGAATATCCCCCCCCCTTTAATTTTAGAATCAGTTGGTATGGGTATGAGGGAACCTTCCTCCCAGGCCATTCCCCTGAAATAAATCTTCCCCAAAGCAATTGTAGGGATCAAGGTACAATATGGGTACCTGTTGTTTCCCCCTTCTGTGCCTATTTGCAGTTCCATAGGCTGATTTCTATCAGGGAAACAGAGTAGTTGGCAAACATTGCCTCCTGATTTGAAATCCCCCCCCCCAGTGGCTAATGGTTAGCATTCAAGAAAATATTAAGAGGTCCCCATTTTGGATTTCCCACCCAGCATGCGGTTTGGCCCTTAGAACTTTCTATGTGATGGTAGCTATTTGCAGTGTCTTTAACTATAGGGGTAGAACTCCATATGGTCAGTAATTGTTGATGGGCAAATGTCATGCACTTGTGGCATGGCACCAACTGCCTGAAGTTCCTACACAGATAAGGACTTTTCAGCAGCCAGCCATATATCTCAGTTGGTCCTTAGACTTGTGCAGTAGATTATGACTTCTCTAGGCTTACCTGTTGGCTTTGATTGGGTTGTCTAATAGCAGTCTTTACTGCCATTATAATTCCTATTTATCTTCTCTCCTTCATAATATATATTGTTATTCTTGTTTCTGCTGAGTTTTTTGTCTTCTCTGCCACTGTCATATTTGCAGGTTTCATCATTGTCCCTTCTCTGATCGTACTGACTTCATCCCCTTGCCTAGCCTGATGGGTGGTTTCCCTTATCTGCTCCCTGTTCAATAAAACTGATCCATGCTCACATTTCATATTTGTCAATTCAAGATGTTATCAGGTGGATCCCTTGAAATGCAGACAGAACAGGTTAAGATATCTATCAATGCATGTGCTAAAAAGTTAAAGCAAAGTATGAGCTGATGGATGTATCAAAAATCTGTGATAAATCTGTATCAAAAATCTGTGATAAATGGCAATTTCTATGAGGAGGGGGTTCAGTCTAAGAGAGAATTAAGCCATGCTTGCAGCCTTGAGATCTCCTTTACAAGGGCTAGCAGGGCTTTTAACTCAGAGAGTTTTGCTTGTGATGCACTGTGGAGGGGAAGCTACAGTTTGATGCTGCTGGGCACAACTACCCCCCACCAATGCATTTGCACATCATCACCCTGCATCCCCCCTTGGGTGAGAGCCCATGTCTATAGCAGCATAAAGCCACTTGTCGAGAACACACTCTAGATCTGTCAGAATTGCATTGAATTTCTAATGTGCATGCTGCTCAAAAAGGCTAGTATGGGGGGATAGACATTTAATAAATAATGCAAGAATAATCCCACATTTTAATGTGAGGGGTGAATCTTCTCTAAATTTCTTTCTTAAAAGGGACATGTTTAGTTAATGTCTTCAGCACTACTTTTCAATATGTAAAGACAGATGTGATATCTTCAGCTTCCTTTCTTTCAAACGTGTCACCAACCAAATGTTTCTTCCAACACACCTTTAATCTTACAAGTGTGCCTAGGCCTCCCATGCACCTGCCTGGGCTGATGAAGTACTATCTCCCAGCACCAATTTCCTGCTCCCCAAGAATTGAGGAGCAGGAGAAAAAATGGCCACCATATAGGTATGCTCTAGGAATTTTCCTTAGTCTCTATGGGAAAGATTACAGAGCTTCACCAGGAAGTGACATCACATCATCCCCAAACTCAGCCCTCCCCAGTCACCACCTCCAAACTCTTCCAGCATTTGCTGACAGTGGGAACCCTAAATGTGCCAGAGTGAGGGGAAGAACTGAGTGTGGCGCATTATGACAAAGACTCTAAAATATTGTTCCAGATATCAGGAGACATGTGAGTGAGAAAGCAAGACTGCTTTGTGAAGCACTTCTCCTTCATAGGAAAGAGAGAGGACATCAGAAAGACAACCAGGAGGTGAACGTAATACACCAATTTGGAGAAAACTGTTATACTGAACATGTGAAGGAACCTTCCCAGTGCTCTGTTGGTCAACACATGGCTGTAAAGGAAAGGTTCTCTGAGTGTAACCAAAGTCCATTGTGATGTCAGCAGCCCACCAAACCATTCTTTGCCCTAATTGCACACCATGCTGCTTTGAAAGTACTCTGTCATTTGGTGGCCATCTCACTAGTGGAATAACAATTCACTTCCTTCTTTCTGTTTTATATTTGCATTTCAAATAGCCACAGCGAAATTGTTTTTGCCCAGAAGTAGAGAGGTTGTATTGACAATTGGCTCCAGTAAAGAATTGTAAAAATACCCAGAGCTTCTTGTATTGATTTTTCCTGGAGTCAGGTAATCTATTTCAATTCAAACAAAAAGTTTTGTTTTCCCCACATCCTGCCTCTTCATATCTTTTCATTACAGCATGTGGCAACATCAGGTTGATTTCCCATCACCTCTTTTTCAACATTGAGAAACTGTGTGTGGTAACATCTTCTATATAGTGTGATGCCTTAAACTCAAATGTAACTTTGGTGACCCCACTAAAATCCTTCAAAGTTTAAAGATTTGCTATTTAATCTTTCTGCATTTCTATTTCAGCAAGAACATCACCATGCAACACATAAATGGTGTGTTTTTATTATTTTATTTTATTTACATTATTTATAGTCCACCTTTCTCACTGGGACTCAAGGCAGATTACAGAGAGCAAGTGAATACAATCGATAGGATGAGACATTCCATAAACAATGAAATAGGATTTGGGTTGTATAACCAACCAGAAATCTAAAAAACAGAACTGAAGCGAAGCGTAAGTGTTAACATGACACATTAAATTATGCAAGACTATGTAGTAGGTTCCAATTTACAGCAAACTATACACAGTAGCATAAACCGCAGTTCCTACTAATTTGTCCAAGTAACTTTGTGAATCATTTTGTACAGTTCTGCCCTATTGCCTGCATAGAAAAGCCCTCTTGAATAATTCAGTTTTGTGAAGTTTGCAGAAAGCAGAAAGTTTGCAAAAAGACCTGGAGCTCGTCTGCTACCACTCTCTCAATCACTTTGCCTAGGAAGGGCAGAGACAGGGTGATAATTGGCTACATCATTTATTTTGTAGGGATGGGGGGGGTTAGTAGCGGATGGATATCTGCCTCTTTGACTGGTCAAGGGAAAGTGCCCTGAGTTAGTGATTGATTTATAATAAATATTAAGGATTTGTTGACATGGTCTTTACAGGATGGGCAAGGGTGCAAGGCACAAGTAGCAGCCTTCACCAATCCCTGAAGTTTTTCAATGTCCATCATGGAAACTGGGTCAATGTGGTCCATAAATGGAACAGGTGGTATATTAGGCAGTTCTTCCAGTGGACCTATGTTATAGTCAGCACCTAGATCAGAGTGTACTCTTAATATTTTATCAGCAAAAAAAACTTTGCAAAAGTATCACAGCTTATTGTCTGGTCAGTACAATGAAGGAGCAGATGCCATGTTACCTTAATCAATTGGGTATCACAACTAGCAGGGAAAACAGGGACTGAAGGAATTCAAAGAAAAAAAATCTTTTAACTACCCTTCTACATGGGCTCAGAGTGTGACAATTCTTCCAGAAGGGCGGAAACTACTACTGAAAAGACATTTTTACTTATTTATTTTAAATGTTTATACCCTGTCTTTTCTATTGAGGAACCTTTAAGGCAGTTACAGACCACAGCAGATTACATATAATGCCAAAAAGCTCTGAACAACTCAGCAGCCTTTGGACATCTGGCTTGTG